TCCTTCTGGATCTGACACTTTCCATAATCAACAAAGCAGTATTATAACATTAAAAACAGTATAATAAACAAACCATATTATCACATTTGAGTGAAAAAGTATACCTGCATTTTTTCCCAACTACCTATACAGTTTTTCTTATTATAGATATACATATTAGTCTAACATAAAATATAATTTGACAGCAGTGCCATATTGTTAGGCACATAATTATTTTGTGTTTTACATCCTACACAAATTCCCGATTTTTTGACAATTTTATCCGTCTTAGACCTTAGAGATTTTTTCGCGAGATCCCGTAGTGAACCGGAGCGGGAACAGATGTAATTTCCCCTTCCTCTGGAAGTTTTGACAGTTTCAGGTTACACCGGGAGTGGTTAGATGGCGCATGTTGCGCAAAAGGTTTGCTTTAAGCTCCTTGATAAACTTAGCTGCGTTGTTTGAATCTGGAATAAAAAGACCGATCGTTTTTTTTGCAATGTACATATATATCAATAAAATCAATCATTTGATATGACAAGTGCGGTTCATATATTTTCGATAACCTTGTCCCTCGTCATTTAAAATCAGGTGGACGTGTTCCTCCATGTATGATTTAATAATTTTACTCAATTTTCAGCACTGAGAAGACAAATTTTCAATTGAGATGCTTGTTTTTTAAACGACATTGACATAAGACCTGTCACCCGCTAGTACCTCACAGACGTTAGGCGGGTATCCGTACCACGTGATTTTTTGACATTCGGACGACGTCGCATCCGTCTTCCCCTATTCCCGATCTTCGCGAAAATTTGAGTATCGGCTCCCGGTAGTGCACTGTGCTACACCGTGGACTCGCGAAAAATCCTTCTTGTTACGTAAGCAACTAGTAAATTGACCGGAGCCTCATCTGTGGGTGACTTCCTTTCAACTACGTTGTGAGTGTTAGGTACCTGTCACGATCCATGCAACATCGACTACATACATGACGCTAATATCGGGTAGAGGGCACGCATACAGTTTGCGGTGTTGCCAGGCATAAGAACATTATGATAATTCACGTAGTTTTCATAAAAAAATTTTTAATGCGAAATATAATTATTCATAAGCTGTCGTGTATGTATATTGAAGATGTTCTGTCAGCGTTTTTGATAATTATTAGTGAACAAAGGTTTACCTCGAATCTGTAAACAACATATGCTCAAAAAAACCAAATACCACTGAGGTCGTAATGTGTACGAGAGAGAAGCGCGATAAGCGTGCAATACGTGTGTTAGAAAGAGATAGAAACATCAACCCGGGTACGGAGTCACGCATGCCATCGACGCATTCTTTCTAATATACATATTGCACGCTTCTCTCTCGTACACATTACGATGTCAGTCAAACTTGAACCTCATCGTAGGTTAAAGAATGAACCGTGAAGACTCGGAGTCGATGCAGACCTGAAAGATGCCACATGCGTAGAACCTGAAATACATTCCTTACGTAACAAGTATGTAGTAGTACAATAGACTAGTAGTAGTTGTGGTGGGGAGGCAAAGCCTGGCAACCAGGCCATATTTAACCGTTTTTGCTAACCGTAGTATCAACACGACACGGTATAATTCACACATTCTATGCAAACTGATAACTGATTATTGAATCAATCAGCTCCAGTCATGCGATGCACCCATGTTGATCTTGTAGCGATCTGGTGGGAGTCGATGGATTAGCAGCTCGTCGTGCTTACCTACTCGGCTACCCTACCCATAGTCCCCTGGCACAACAGGTATAGTAGATTATCTTGCCTTCATTTCCGACACGTATCGCTTCACACCACTCTATTTCAACTTCTTATCTGAAGTATATGCATCATAGGATGGTGTAGTTTTGTCACGTACCCGAAAAGCTTACCTCGTGCTCAACTTCTGTTTGAAAATTCGAATTCAAAACTTATGGGTTGCGGGCCTCGAGCCAAAACCTTCCTCCAAGAACATTAGAAACAAAAGGGCAAACTGTCTGTACCCTGGTACCAAAAAGGAAGAGAACAGCAAAACATATCGCATGCCAGTGCAGGCGCGGTATCTTTTTTTTTAATTGACAAGTCTAACGAATTCAGACTAAACTCCATCTAACCCCAAGATAGAATAATGTAAACACAGTCATGTGACGCCTGAATTAGTCAGGGTCAGGGACGTATTCAGGAGCGCCTTGCGGTGATTTATTGATTCCAATATCTTGTTGATAACAGATGCTATTACTTAGTAAAATTACTTGCTGATGTAACCGATGGCTGTTAGATTGAAACTCTTCTTCTAGCATCTCTAGCAGGAAAACTGCCGGACTCGGCAGACTAGCGGGGTGTTATTGAGGTTGATATAAGGCGGTGATTATTGTATGATCTAAAACAATTATAAGGATAATAAATTACCTTGTATTCACGTAAAACATTATAAACGGAGGCGCGAAATACTCCAACTTTTTCAGAAACCGTCCACGCGACTTCATCCACAGTGGATGTCTCATTTTCCTGTCTCTGTGTTAAGCACATTTAGAATCACTTCTTTTATCTCAACATTCAAATGCTTTTTTTTAGCGTTTTCTAGGTGGACTCAGACAATAGCTTGCAGTCTCATCAGCAGTGTCTGTACTGGACATCTTGGCTAACACAATATAACTATAACGAGTAACAATAATAACATCAAATTCAACAAATATAAACAAGACCTAACAACAAATGGAAACCGCGAAATCAAGGACTTACCAAGAAGGAATATAGCACGATGAATGCCACTGAGACAAATTAATTTCAACGGCTGAAACTCATTTAGAATCAAGCCTCTGATCTACATTTCTGACGCGATGGCTATACGAGCCCCTTCCCACTTCAGTTGGCCCACTTCAAGAGTTGTACCAAAATATGCCTTTATAAACTCAACATGACGAAACTATTTACTTCTAAAACACTTTATTTTCTCAAAAACATTTTAGATACACTCTAGTCATAAAAAACACATATTTGAAATCACTTAGACCTATAACTGATAGAACATCTGAACAAATAAACAATGTGCGAATAAATGCGCGAAGTTAACAAAGCAACAATTGAAAGATTACCATTGGGTAACATCACCTTTATTTTTCATTACGGCTGAAATTCTTTGGGGCATAGTGTTAATCAAGTTTTGGCAATTCTTGAAGCTTTTGTCTTAGTTCGGTGATTGTACGAGCAGGATGTTGTCGTAGAACCTTTTTCATCTTGTGCCACAAAGTTTCAATAGGTGACAGATCTGGTCTGCTAGAAACCCATTTCAAAAGTGATACATTATTTTCTTCCATCCATCTTATAGCCTTTTTAGAGGTATGGCGCGCTACACCATCTTGCTGACACACAAAATCTTGGCCGTATGTCAAACTTTCTTCCATCACTGGTAAAAGCGATTCTTCTAAAATTGCCAAATATTTGTTTTCACTTTTCTCTTCAGACAGTCATCATGGAATGCTTCATTTTTTTGCCAATAACTCTACTGCGACTGTCACCAACACAAACTTCGAATCGGGCCTCATCACTCCATTGTATTGCACACCATTGTTGAGGTGTCCATTGTCTATGTTCTTTAGCCCATCTAAGCCGATTTTTCTTTTGCAGTGGAGTTAATAGTGGCTTTTCTTTGGCCTATAAACAAGTTGTGCAACTTTAGGGTTTTTACTTCACGTTTTTTATAAGAAAACTTACCTTGCAAGTGTTAAATCCCAGTTTGTGGGCCTCTCTATGAGTTGTGGACCTCGAAATTCTCCTTCCAACAGCGTCGCTCCACAGAGCACTTAATTGTAAATAATTGGCACGCCTGTTTTTCAGGATTATTCTTCTTAATGCTCTTCGGTCGGCATTTGTGATATTACTTTTTTTCACATATCGTGGCTTAATATTAACTGACCCAGTTACGTTATATCTTCTAACAATATTTCTCACACTGTACCGCGATAAGTCTAACAAAGTTGCAATTTCTGAGTTTGATTTCCCAGAATTAAAAAAATTAATTATCAGTAACCGAACCTTAACTACCCAAAACTATTTTAAACGTATTCTGACAGCTGTGATTAATCAAAACAATTGTCATGACTTTTATTTGTCACAGCCACCTATGCGTTATAGACTTATTTTGCATTGAAATGAAAATAGGTTGATATGCTGTAATTGCAACATGTGTTATTTTTATGCTGCAAATTTGATTACGGAGTGATAAAGTTGGTGTTTTCTACTATACTTTGAAGTTGAGTCATTAATTTTCAGATAATGATTGTAGAAGGAAGATAAACCAAAATATGTGTGTAAAAATAAAAAAAAATTAAATTTTTTTACCTTGTTTTATAAAGTATCCTCCCGACAAGTATTTCAGTGCGGACCTGTATTTGATCGTGAGGTCTTGGAGCACCGGCATGCCCTCCCCTGTGAGGTCTTAAGTCACCTGATTCACGAGCCCGTTGTACTACATTAACAAAGGCACGAGGGGTTGGTTGCACTCGATTGGGAAACCGATCCGCATAAATATGTGCCATTTTTTATTTCGTTTGAGCCACGCAGCAAACACCACTATTCACTCACGCGTTACCGACTGACACATTGACTGAATAAGAACATCGTGATCAGCGTTTCAAATTCTTTCGCTTTTTTGTTTCCGATGCGATGAACCGATAAGGCGGAGTATATCCGTTGTTGCCAAACACGAGCACATAATATTATTATTGAGACAGGGCGGTACTCAAACTTCTAAAGGGCTATAACTTTGTTACTTTAATTTTACCAGAAAAATGTTAAAGGAAAAAAACATTTCTTTTGATCAGGTCTACTCACTGTTAAAATAAATGACTCAACTTCGAAGTCACCCTGTATATTATCAAAATATTCAGTGTTAATATTTTAAACCTATAACACCCTGCTACATTTTTATTATTTGTGTTTGATAAGAAAAAAACTAAGATTTCAATAGTTGGGCCAACTGAAGTGGGAAGGGGCTCGTAGTTGATCTAGGATGTAGCCTGCCTTCATCTTCATGCTTGACACATTGGTCGTCACTCCCACTTCATGGATTCGCTGTTGCGAAGTTTGTGGTAAGTTTATAAATGGCAATGGCAAGGCAACATCGCGGTAAAATAAAAAATCCCTAGTTCCTGAATCGTGACATTTTTGTAACTAGGACAAAATATTGGAAAATCGCGTGCTTGTCGTTGACTTTTTGTTGCCGAAATTACATTTTATAAAATAATTACTTAAAAATACACAAGCAATTGGTCTAAAATGACATCGGTTCTAATTGCCCGAGCTCTAGCTCCAGGTAAGAAGATTATAACCCCTTTTAGATAAATACTTAACCCTTCAACTTTTCACAGCTATCCATAGGTCTTTGAAACAATTAATCCAAAATGGGTCGATTTACAAATTTCACAATTACGTTAAAGTGATCCAGGTCGCCGCACCACAACGCCAGAGACGCCTGTACTCTGAAAAAAAGGTTTTTGAACGTACTAAGCCTCACTGCAATGTAGGCACAATAGGTCATGTGGACCATGGAAAAACGACCCTAACCGCTGCTATCACCAAAGTCCTATCAGATCATAAGTTGGCGAAACTACGGCAGTACAAAGATATTGATAATGCACCGGAAGAGAAGGCTAGAGGAATAACCATTAATGTAGCTCATATTGAGTATCAGACAGAGAATAGGCATTATGGTCACACAGATTGTCCAGGGCATGCTGATTACATCAAGAACATGATCACTGGAGCAGCACAGGTTAGTAGATTTTATTGTCTAGCAGACTCATCAAATATGTAAGGACCACATAAGGGTATTATGTTTCATAAATTTAACAGATGATTCTTTGAGTAATTCTATATAAACATAGGTATACAAATTCTTCATTCTCAAGATACAGGGTGTTGAAATAAAAAAAAAATGGTTTTTCATAAATTTCTTAAATATATTTTTGTTTTAATGGACGGTGGCATTTTTAACAAAGTAGCTAATTTAGTCATGGTTTGATTGAATTTATTAAGTCTAGTGGCATCTCAAGTGGGATCTGAACAAATATTTGTGACAGAAAAATGTATGCCACTGACTTTGTTGCAATTTTTAATATTCTTATTATGTTCTTTGCATTAAGCACATACACAACATTTATCTGTCTTGATTTTTTTCATATCTTGCTTAGTTTTCAAGAGAAAAAAGTACACTTAATTGGTTATCCCTGGACCACACCAGGAATATGGGTAAAAGTTTCTTTTGGAAATTATTATTTATAATTTTGTATTACTAATTATGTAACAACAACAAATAAAAGTTAAATTATATTACATTAACATCTAAACTAATGAACTCTACTAAGGCCTGTATCGTCAGTCGTCCTTACAATTGTAGGGCGCGTTTATGGCCTCCTTGACTGTCATTCTTCTTTCTCTCCTTCAAAAATTTCTAGATTACACTTGTCCCATTTCAGCGTCAGCGCTCTCCTATTGTGAAGATATGTTTTCTTTTTAAATTGTAGGAAATTTTAGGCTGATAAAACATGATATAACTCAAAAGCAAGCACATTTTGATGCAAATAGATGTTTGTGACATAACCTCAAAATAGAGCGCTGACAGGGAGAAGTAGAAAACTATGACAATCAAGGAGGCCATAAAGGCGCCCTACAATTGTAGGGACGACTGACGATACGGGCCTCAACTAAGGAATAGTAAATAATAATCAACAGTTGCCTTGGAAAAAGATTGCATTTGACAACTTGACAGTTGTCAACTCAGTATTTATTTCGTATACCATGGGAATCCTCCGCTAAGTATCTCGGTGTCATTCTGGACAATGGGATGACTTGGTGGAACTATATAGAAGCGCTAAAAACTAAATTCCAAATTACGTTTTGACAGCTTTACCCATTATTATGTAGATGTTCAAAATTAAGTTTGATTAACAAGATTCGACTCTATAAGGTGGTCATAAGACCAGCAATGACTTACGCATGTGTGGCTTGGTGCTTTAATGCTAAAACACACATGCGAAATCTGCAGGTTCTGCAATGCAGAACGTTGCGCACTATTGCTGACACCCCAACGAAACTCTACATAGAGACCTCAATGTCCCTTACCTAAAGGATTACATTAAGCAACAGGCGCAGCAGCGCTATAGCCTAGCGGAATCGCACAGCGACTCTCTGTTGCATGAGTCAGTGGACTACACAGTCGAGCAAGTTCGCAAGCACAAAAGACCGCGGCTCGCACTGTAACCAAAATTAATTCGAGAACTTAGAACAACCAAAATTGGAGCATTTTGACAAAATCTTTAGAAAAAGTCGAATATTTTCAGACCATATCAAAATCTGTGAACTGATTTTAACAATGCTTAAATGCTGCCTATCCTAAGAGATTCTCTTCTTCCCCTTTGCTCTCGTTCTTCCTTCTCTCCTTTCCTTCCCTTTTTTCCTTAAAATTGTGTGGTTTCTGGGTTACCAGACCTGACAGACTTACAAACTGACACAGTGTCTCAAGAGCTAAGGTCCCACGGACCACTCTGACAACCATCGATGACTTGAAGCTATTAATTTATAATTTTTAGAAAAAGTGTTTTTAGTGGTTATTTTTTGTCCAATATGGTTCAATTTACTAATAGTGGAGTGACAAATATGCATTTCTGTTATGTAATAGGTCATGGAAACTCTAATGCTGGAAGATACATTTATCATGAAAATCCTCATATCACCAGTATGGAAAATAGCTGAAGAACTGAATATCAACTTCTGTCACAGTGTGGCAGTTTTAAGAGACCAGCAGCTTTATCCATATCATATGCATCATGTGCATAGTCTGTTGCTCAGAGATTTGCCTTTAAGACTGGCTTTTTCTGATTGGTTATGCAGTAAAATAATAAGGAATCCAGGTTTTCTAAGTTGAATATTGTTTACAGATGAAGCTTATTTTTCTCAGATTTCAATTATTAACTTCCACAACAATCACATTTGGGCCGAAAGCAATCTGCATGCCTTAACAGAAAATCATTTCCAAAAACAGTTTGTTTTTTTAACATTTGTCGGTGACGATCTCATTGGGCTTCATTTTCTTCTACCTAGACTTAATGGAGAAGAATACTGAAGCTTTTTAGAATTTGTCTTATCTGGACTTTTAGAAGAAGTTCCAGACATGGAAAGATTCCATATGTGATATATGCACAATGGGGTTCCACCACACTTTAGTATAGTGGCGTTGATGACGTAATCTCCAAGACTATAGACGGTTGTATTAAAGCCAAAGGGGGCCATTTCAAACAATTAATTCTGTATGAATTTGTTAGTCTAGATGTTAATGCTATTTAGTATTTGTTGTTGTTATCTAATTAGTAATAAAAAATTATAAAAAATGAATAATTTCCAAAATAAACTTTTCCCTATATTCCTTGTGTGGCCCAAAGACTTTTCTCGAAAACTAAGCAAGATAGGAAAAAAATTGAAGAGACAAAAAAGTTGTATCTCTATTTGCTTGATCCAAGGAACATGATAAAAATTGTACAAAAGTCGGTGGCATACATTTTTTGGTCACAAAGATTCGTTCAGATCCCACTCGAGACGCCGCTCGACTTACTAAATTCAATCAAATTAATATCAGAATCAGCTCCTTAATGATATAAATACCACCGCCAAATTACAACAAAATTTGGTCAAGGATATTGTAAGATATTTACGAAAAATATTTTTTTTTTAATTTTCACCTGTATCTTGAAAGCGAATAATATGCTTATCTGTGTTTATAGGAACTTTTGGTCTTAAAAATACTCAAACTGTTAAGTTTATAGTGCATACTTGTATAACATAGTATCTAATAAAATTTACACAACATTAAAAACATATTAGATGAAAATTAAAAGACTTATGTTTGTACTGTGCAGTGATTGACCATACTTAATCATCACTACATTCAATTATATGAAGAGTTCTAAGCATGATGAACTTAAGATTAAGATTCAAAATTCGCAATATACACTTATGATGATCCTCTCATTAGGATTAGTCAATCATATGTTTAAGTCGGAATAGAGTAAGACTGAGGTTTGTGTTTATTAATAAAGCTCAGACATTGATCATCACATCTGCAATACTTTGATTTTCAAAAGTTGTGTGTTGAGACTGAGTAATTGCCCAGCTGAGTAATTTAAAGCTTAGCAAAACTAGGTACGTAGTAAAATGTGCCAAGTACCAGGTACAAACCAAGTAGATGCTGTTCATTTTTGAATAAATTTGTTCCATATTCTAGTTTCTCAAAAAAAATTTTATTTGCGTCTCAACAACTTTTTTTTATAAACTTATTATGAATGTTTTCCATATTCATATTTGTCTTTTCTTCTTAAAATACGGCTGCCATGATAGCTAAAAGTAACTAAAGTTCAGTATCAATGTTTTACCAATATTGTCAACAAAAAAGGTATACCTAATACTTCATATTGAGTTGAGTACCATTCTCGACCTTTTATATCGCCCAAAAAATAGAGACTGCCAATTCTTCCATACAATGGTACATGTCCCTAAAAGAAAGCACTAAAAGGAAGTTTAATGAAATAACATTCCTGTAGGTACAATATTGGTCAATTTCTCATGCAAATCAAATCACATCAGAGTCTCTTGAAACAAAGTTTAACTGCATTCTGACACTTTCCATTTATTACGCAGAATTCTGATTTTTAGTACCTGTAGTCTCAGTGTAGTAGGCTTGGTCAAATTCCCAGATTCTGAGTAGTATATTTTGAATTATAGCAAGTAGTATAGTGACATAGCCTTTAATGATGCATATGTTATACTTATGACATCCATAAATACAATAATGTGATCTTGAAATTTTCTCAAGATGTCCTTCAAGTATTGGTGTAGGAATTAGAAATCATCAAAATCTGATATTGTTCAAGGTTTGCTCACGAAAACAGTTTTGTAATATTCCTCTATGACCTCTAAGCCTGTTTGACTATGTAACATTCTTGGAAAGAGCTTGCTCAAAATATTCTACACTACCATACATATAAATATGTGTATGAATTAAACACGTGTGGATCGTGGGTGATTGATTGCACTGAGGAATTATCACTCGCGTTCCTATTTCTCTTATAATCGCCATGATGTTAGAGAAATACTTCAGTAACTTTTGTAGACTAACTTTTATTGAGACATCAGCAACAGTTGAGAACAGAAGAACAAGTAACAAAATGAGTACAGAGAATGGTCAAAGACCCTTTTTATATTATAAGATTACACTTAGGAATTTTCCAGAAAATCAGTAGTCTCGGGTAAAAATGCAAACATCACACATCCTGTCTCACGAGTATGGGACGGTGTTATACTCGTAGGGACTTAGATGGTGTTAATGCTTTAAGGATACCATAACTTATGTGGATTTTTTCCCAAAATTGTCTTCTTTGCTAACAATGAACATTTTATAATACAGATGGATGGAGCCATATTAGTAGTAGCAGCCACAGATGGTGTGATGCCCCAAACCCGTGAGCACTTACTGCTTGCCAAACAAATTGGTGTGAAACACGTTGTGGTATTTATCAACAAAGTTGATGCAGCTGACAAAGAAATGGTAGAGCTGGTTGAGATGGAAATCCGTGAACTGCTCACTGAAATGGGCTTTGATGGTGATAACATCCCAATTGTTCCTGGTTCTGCACTGTGCGCCCTAGAGGGCAAAAACCCTGAAATAGGATCCGATGCCATCATAAAACTACTGAAAGAAGTAGATAGCTACATTCCCACACCAGTTAGGGAATTAGACAAGCCATTTTTACTACCAGTGGAACACACATACTCTATTGCTGGTAGAGGTACAGTAGTTACTGGAAGACTGGAGAGAGGTGTGTTAAAGAAGGGTGCAGAATGCGAGTTTGTTGGATATAACAAAACTTTGAAGAGCACAGTTACTGGTGTGGAGATGTTCCATCAGATTTTGGATGAGGCACAGGCAGGTGATCAGATAGGAGCACTTGTAAGGGGCCTTAAGAGGGATGATGTTAAGAGAGGTTGGTACATTACATATTTTTCAGATAGAAGTTCCAATATCTGCTTTTGTGTGAGGCTTCTGGAGCTGGAAGTTTAGATCTTTCTTCTCGTTTTTAGGTATGATAATGGCAAAACCAGGTACAGTGAAAAGTCATGACCACATAGAGACCCAAGTGTACATCCTTAGCAAAGAAGAGGGAGGTCGGCCAAAACCATTCACTTCCTTTATTCAATTGCAAATGTTCTGCAGGACCTGGGATTGCCCTGTTCAAGTGGTCATTCCAGATAAGGAGATGGTTATGCCTGGAGAAGATGCTAGGTATGTCAACTCGATCATAATCAATGATTTGATTTATAAAGTCAGTGTTTTTATAATCTTTATCAGAACTGTCCATATTAGTGTTCATTGAAAACATTCAGTTTTCTGACTGTATTCATTCTCGCTGTACATACTGTAGATTATGAACGTTTTCGAATGATCTGGCTCCTCTCAAACCCCACGAAATTAAATGAAGAGAATTTTTTTATGAAAATCAACTATGAGAAAGCTGTAGATGTTCGCCCCAAGCTAAGCCAATAGGTATTACATGAGAAATTACTAGGATTGGTTGAAATCTAAGTTGAATTTAAATTCAAAATACTTTCAGTTATATAACAGCTCCTACAAATAGCTTTAGTACATTTAAAACAATTGAAATGAACGAACTAAGAAATGCAGTTAACAATTTAACCCAGATATGCCCAAAGTTATCATGACTCTGACTTCTTCGTAGTTTTGCATTTAAGGTGCAATAGTATACAAGAACCCAACTACAACTTCTGAAACTGATTTTGTGTCAAAAAAGTTGTTTTAGAAGGCGTCCTATATATAGGACAATGGGCACTTAACATGCAACCCTTTGTCACATTTTTGACAGCGAGTCATGTTTTCTGATGACAAGCTGCACATCTTGCTTGCTTTTCTTGTGGTATTACCCAGTGGTTCAGATGGTCATATCATAACTCCAAATTTGCAATTTGCAATGGCTGTTGTTAAAGTTAAGTGGTCCATTGTTCCACCTCATTTTCTATGAATTTGCCAGGAATTCTGCGCTGCCATAGCTATGCAGTCAGTTATAAGACGAAAATACCACTTTTTTCCTCTTATGGCGGTACGATAGAGGTTTATATTTCGGTCTGAACGGTCAACCCCTCCCATGTTCCTATTATATACTTGGACCACATGTGGTTGCTCTACCTGGAGAAGAGTCAACCACTCGTGTTGGCGAAACGTCAAGTTAAAATATTTTACGACGTCCTAAAACTACCCAAAAATCATCCAAATAACAAGATAAGGATTGTGAAAAGCAGCACTAACCCTCTCTAAATGCTCTTTCACATAATTATAACGTTTCTCCTTCTTTGCCTGCTTGCATGTTCCTTTGATTGCTTCTGTCATTTGACTCAAGGGTATATCGTCTGCTGAGTCGGTATCACATTTATCACTTACTCTGCATTTGAGACGGCGGCAAGTTATTTATATATACATTGTCTTCTTCGCCGAATTTTCATCTGCCAGATTTTCGGAAGCATTTTTTTTTTATACTCAAACTACCACGAAGGCCTAAGGCCTAAGCACTCGTTGAGTACCGTGGGGCTATAGGGGGACACATGGGAAAGGGGGGAACGCCACACGGACTCTGGCGAGGGAACACGTGTGCATGCAACATGCACACATTCTGGCTCCGCCTACGAGATCCGCCGGGTGGTACCTCCGCGTTCGACAGTCAGAGACCATCTACCACCTACGGACAATCACAACAGCCATAGCCAAGAGAAAAATTTCTCCTGGGACGGGACTCGAACCAGCACAGCGCACAGCGACTGATCAGGAGACCGAAGAGTCTACTACTGCGGCCACCGCTGCTGCCTTGTTTTGTGAGGTGAAAACAGTGTGATGGTATCGGTTTGCACTTTTTCATCTTCAATCATAGCCAGGGCTTCATGTAATGAAAACCCTCTGTAACAAATATATCTATACACAATTATTTTATAGATGCATATATCACTAAAAACTGAGGGTGATTCAGAAAAAGTGACAGTAGTATATTTACCCAATATACTTTATATAGGTCAGATAGATTTTTTCCAAAACGTTAAAAAGGCTAGGCAATATTTTTCATTGCCTCAAGATATACGAGCCCCTTCCCACTTCAAGATTTGTACCAATATATGCCTTTATAAACTAAACATGACGAAACTATTTACTTCTAAAATACTTTATTTTCTCAAAAACATTTTAGATACACTCTAGTCGTAAAAAATACATATTTGAAATCACTTAGACCTATAACTAATATAACATCTGAACAAATAAACAATGTGCGAATAAATGCGCGACGTTAACAAAGCAACAATTGAAAGATTACCATTGGGTAACATCACCTTTATTTTTTATTACGGCTGAAATTCTTTGGGGCATAGTGTTAACCAAGTTTTGGAAAAAATTGGTGTAAAACAATCCCATATTTCTTGAAACTATTGTCTCAGTTCGGTGATTGTACGAGCAGGAACCTTTTTCATCTCGTGCCACAAAGTTTCAATAGGTGACAGATCTGGACTGCTAGAAACCCATGTTAAAAGTGGTACATTATTTTCTTCCATCCATTTTATAGCCTTTTTTGAGGTATGGCACGCTGCACCATCTTGCTGAAACACAAAATCTTGGCCGGATATCAAACATTCTTTTTTTTTTTTTTTTTATTTAACTATCCGCTTCAACCTTATGGTCATTAGCGGTGGAATTGATTATATTTTATAAATAAAGTTAGTGGCTTTCAGAAAATTTACAAGATTTGCTATGCTACATTTTGGACCTAGAATTCCTATCAGAGTGTTTTCTAAGTTGAACGTTATCCTATACACTTCAAGCATTGGGCACTCCACTAGAATGTGCTTCACTGTTAACTGCACGTCACAAATTTCACAAATAGGCACAGGTTCTTGGGCTAGAAGATATCCGTGGGTGGCTCGTGTGTGTCCTAGTCGGAGTCGTGTGATGGTGGTTTGCATGCGTCGGTTGCTGGTGATGGTTTGCCATGTTCCAAAGCTCGGTTTTACATCCCGTAGTTTAGATGGCTTGTTTCTCCAGTTATCATTCCAGTTCTCCATTATTTTCTGCTTTAGATGCACCGTGGCGTCACAAGCTGGTACCTCTTCGATGGACAGGATTGAGTTGTTGATAGCTGTCTTTGCTTTCCGATCTGCTAACTCATTACCAGGGATCCCTATATGTGACGGCACCCAAAGGATGGTGATATTTTTGTGTGGGGTGTCGCTTATTTCGGTCTTGATTATATTGACCAATGGGTTTTTACAGTATATTGTATCCAGTAGTTTGACAGAATTTAGTGAGTCCGTTATGATAATCCAATCGTTGGTTGAGCATTGTTTAACATACCGAACAGCTTCAAGTATGGCGTATATTTCACCAGTGAGCACTGTAGCTGACTGCGGCAACTTGCTTTCCACAATTGTTGTTGGAGTTACTATAGCTGCTCCTACATATGTGTCTGATTTGGAGGCATCTGTGTATATTTCGCTGTAACTGCTGTATTGGTGTCGAATGGATGAAAAGTGTTGGATGATTACTTCGCTCGGAGTGTCTTGCTTGATAAATTTGGTCAGTTTAATGTTGATGTTAGGAGGCTGAATGGTCCAAGGAGAAATAGATGAACTGGTAGTGGCCAGGACCGGAGGCAGTCTGTGTATATGTAGTCGCCGTAAATACAGTTGTACCCTATGGTGAAAGGATATACCATATGACACGTTTCTAGGGTTCGTTCGATTTCTTAATAAAATGTGTCTGTATCCTGGTAATGATGGGTTAGAGGCAATTTTGGTGGCATACTGTAAACTTAAAATTTCTCTTCGAACCTGCAGAGGAGCTTCTCCAGATTCGCAGCATAGGCTGTCTATGGGTGTAGTTCTGTAGGCTCCTAATATCAAGCGAAGTGCAGTGTTATGTAGTGTATCCAGTGGTTTCAGTATAGATGGCTTTGCGGAATTGTATGCTACACAACCATAATCTAATTTTGATCTAACTAGAGTTCGGTAGATACTGAGAAGAGTTTTCCCGTCTGCACCCCAATGTCTATTAGATAAGTATCGGAGGATATTTATTCCTTTCTGGCAAGATTGTGTCAGATAGGAGATGTGGCTTCTCCATGAAAGGCACTGATCAAAAATTACCCCAAGAAATTTGATTTCTTTAAAATATTCAAGAGCAATGTTAGCTAAGTGAAGTGGTGGTTTTGTGTGGTTAGGCTTTTTTGAGAATATAATGCACTGCGTTTTATGTGGTGAGAATGTAAATCCACTTCTATTAGACCAGTGTTCCAGCTGGTTCAATGTCGATTGAAGTAAATAGGTACTGGTTGTAATGTTCTTGCCTTTAATGTATATAATCATGTCATCAGCATACAGGCGTGCTTGTACAGGCTTTTGTATGCTTTCTATAATATCATTAATGGCTATAAGAAAGAGCGTTGGGCTAATGACAGATCCTTGAGGTAGGCCATTTATCTGTTCTCGCTTTTCAGATAGTGTGCCATTGGTTCGAACTTGAAAGTTTCTGGTTCTCAGGAAGTTTTGGATAAATGCGAGGATATTTCCGTCATATCCCCAGTTTTGCAATTTACGGATTATGTCAAATTTCCATGCGGTGTCAAATGCTTTGTTAATGTCAAAGTATATTGCGGCACAATGTTGTTGGTCGGCGAATGCTTCGTGTATACATGATTCTAGGTCTATTATATTATCCAATGTTGATCTATTTGATCTGAATCCTGCCTGTTCGCATGCTAGCTGATTATTGTATTCCAAGTTCCACAATAGCCTACGATTAATAATTTTTTCCAATAGCTTACACATTGAGCATGTTAAGGAAATTGGTCGGTAAGATTCAGGTGCCTGTGGCGATTTGTTTGGCTTTTGGATGGGTATGATTATGGCTTGTCTCCATATATCTGGGAATACTTGTTCATTCCATATAATATTGTATATGTCCAAAAGGATATTTTTAGCTGAAGGTGTAAGATTTTTGAGGAAAATTGTTGGTATGTCATCTGGTCCTGGTGATGTATCTTTTAAATCAAGAAGGGCTTCTTCCATTTCTTGTTTAGTGATTGGAGTATTTATTGGACTAGAGGTGTCTTTATTTGTAGCAATTTCCGTTTCAGAGTGTCTTTTCTGGTTAAGGAATTGCGTGTTGAGATTCTCATCACTGGAGTTTCTAAAATAGGTCCTCGATAGAACGTTCGCAATATCATTGCTTTGAGT